AACAAAAAAAAAGCTATTTATGAATAAAACTATCTACTGTCAAGCTATTTAGTTAAAATCTACTGAAAACAAGGACAAACTTTTAGGTAACCAAACCCACTGCTCTCTGGTAAGAAAAAAAATCAAATACGACATGTAATGTTCTAGTTTGCCAAATTCTTTTTTTTTTTTTTTTTTTTTTTTTGGTTTTTACGAGACAGGGTTTCTCTGTATTGTTTTGGAGGCTGTCGGTCCAGCCCGGCCTCGAGCTCACAGAGATCCGCCTGCCTCTGCCTCCCGAGTGCTGGGATTAAAGGTGTGCATCACCACCGTCCGGCTAAATTTGCCAAATTCTTGAAAAACTTAAAAGTAATCCCAGCACTTGGAAGGCTGAGGCAAGGACAGGTGAGCTCTGGTCCAGCCTGGGAAACACAGTAGGATCCTGCCTCAAAACAAAAAACAAAAACAAAACAAATAACCAAGGCATTATAATTAGGATAACAAGGCTGAAACCATTTACTGAGGGATCCCAAATCTTCACCAATCTCTTGCCGCCACATCCTCTGCACTCTTCCACTACAGTAAACTCACTTGGCTTCTTCCTAGACCCTTTCAAAGACCATAATTCATTATGTTGGTGTTCCTACCAGCGCCTCCTTTCGATGCCTTGCACAGCATCCTACATTCAGTAGACAGGGCAAATGTTTGTTCAATGCTGGAATGATATCTGTGCAAAAAAATTCCACTTCAAAAAATTCCATTCTACTATGTGAACTCGCCCCAAAAGTTGACTGTCTTTCTCATTTCTTTCTCCTTAGCCATAAAGATAATTCTATTTTTAACACTTTTAATATATTTCTTCCCTGGCAAACAAAAGCAAGCAAATCTGCAATATTTCCCTAACTTGTCTTGAGAATTTGGTATTATTTCCTTACAGTGCCAAGGATCTAGATCTAACTTGCGGCCTTTTGATTACTAGGCAAGTGCTCTACCACTGAGCTATGCCCCACCTGCCCTAATAATTTTACTTTCAAAATTTGTTTACTACTACTACTATTGTGTGTGTGCATGCTTATGTGTGAAGACAACTCTGTGGAGCTGTTTCTCTCTGTTCCACTTATCTATGTGGGTTCCAGGAATCAAGCTCAGGTCATCAGGCTTTCTTGGCAAATTTTTTTAAGCCTATTAAGCCATCTTGCCTGACCTGTCCATATTGTACAATTTCAAAGAGGTAAAATATAAAAAAATATTACAATGGCCAGGCAGTGGTACATGCTTTTAATCCCAGTACTCAGGAGACAGAGGAAGGTGTATCTCTGTGAGTTCAAGGCCAACCTGTTCTACATGAGCTAGTTCTAGGGCAGATGGTACTACAGAGAAACCCTGTCTCAAAAACAAAAACACTTTTTTTAAATTGTTGTGTGATTGCAACACTTAAAATACTGAGGTAGGAAATTTCCATGAATTCCGGGTATGAGTCTGAATATGAGTGGGGATTTTGGGTTCATAAAATGCTGCCATCAGTGAATTTTGCTTGGGGAAAGCAGAAAGAACAAAATGGCAGTAGCACCTAGCCTGTAACTCTCTAAGGGGAACCCAAATGTTTTTGATGGTGAGGAAATGGTCCAGAAGGTAAGTAGCCTGTTTCCTTTGTTATCAAACCAGTCTGTGGTTGGTGTTTCTACTAGAACTGTCAAAGGGCTATGGAAAGTGGGACTATAGAATAACTTTTAGGGTGTGCCTGCTAATGACAACTATCTCTCCATTCTCCTGGAAACAGGATTTGTCTTTTTTGTTTCCCTTGGAAATGCAGTGCTGCCTAAAGCAAGCAGTAGAGGAAGGGGCTTTGGTGCCAAGAGTTTTCACATGTTCCTGGAAAGGCTGTTAGATAAGCCCATCTTCAACCATCCAGAGTCAGAACTGGGGACCCATTGTTGACCTTGTTCTCTCTGAAAATGTAAAAACAGTAAATTCCTAACAATGATTAAGTGGAATTATTTTAAGTGTTATTAAGCATAATCCATTTAAGTCCAATTTTCTGCAGAGCCCAATAAATTGGGCTAGTGACTATCAATAAAAATATAGGTCTTAAAAATGACTGGAAATTCTTTACTTAAGTTTTAATATATTCTCAAAGTTAAGCAACCATTATCATTTAATGATTTTGTTTTTTAAGACAAGGTATATTGCCTAGGCTGTTCTCCCCATTGCTTCATAGCCAAGAATGACCTTGGACTTTTCTGATTCTCCTTCCTGCCTCCACCTCCCAAGTGCTAAGATTATAGGCTTGTCACACTGCATGCAAGTTACATGGTGTACATGTAACTAGGCTCAGACCTAGGTATCTGTGCATGCTAGGCATACACCCTTAACAACTGGGCCCTATCCTTTCTCTTCTTGTTTTATTTTATTGAAGATTTTTTATTTATATATAGTGTTCTGTCTGCATGCATGCATGACAGAGAAGGGCACCAGATCACATTACAGATGGTTATAAGCAACCATGTAGTTGCTGGGAACTGAACTCAGGACCTTTGGAAGAGCAGCCAGTGCTCTTAAGCCCTGAGCTATCTCTCTAGTCTAGACTTCTTTTTAAAGGCAGGTCTCACTATACAGCCCAGGCTATCTTCTCAGTCTTCCTGCCTCAGCCTCTCTGCCATAACTCCTTTGAGATAGACCTGTTATGAACCAGGAGCCAGGCTGGCAGTCAGTTAAACCCCATTGATGTTCCTGTCTCTGTTTGATACTCTGATCCCCACAGCACTGGGATTATAAGCATCTGTGCCTACACTACTAGGCTGCCCTTTTAAAGTGATTGCTAGGGATTTAAACTCAGCTCTTATATAGCAAGTTCTCTAACACACTGAGCCATCTGCCCAGCCTCCCAACCTATGTTTTTGATTTGGGTTTTGTTGATGTAAAGACATTGGTAGGCCTCACTGGAAGATCATGTAGAGGATGGCAGGAAGAAACTAGTGGTAAGTATTGTTCCTAGAACGTCACAGTGATGGGGGTTAGATTTTGGTTCTTGACTCATGTTTTCACGAATATGGACAGCTTAAGTTTGAGGGTTTAGGGAATATTACCTAGTGTTAGGTTGAGTGGCTGTTTAAACTTAGAAACTTTGACTGGGAACAAACCTTTGTAGCAGTTTTATTTAGTATTATTAGTATAAAGTTTCTTTCTTTTTTTTTTTTTTTGAGACAGAGTTTCTCTGTGTAACAGGCCTAGCTGTTCTGGAACTCAGTCTCCCACCAGTCATAAGAATTAAAAGAATTTTCAACCAGGCATTACCTTTAATCCCAGCACTTGAGAAGCAGAGGCAGACGGATCTCTGTGAGTTCAAGGCCAGCCTGATCTACAGATCATAGAGTTCCAGGCCAGTCAAGGACAGAGAAACTCCTGTCTTGAAAAATAAAAGTTTAGTTTCCTTGTTTGAAAGGGAAAATATCAACTACATACAAATAAAAGAAATGCCAGTCAATAAAACAGTCAAATCCCCAGGGTCAGGGAAGGGCAGATAAGTGTGTTAAATCCCTCTGGCATAATATTGATCCAAAGTTCACTGTGCACCCCCCCACCCAAAAAGTCTAATCTAAACTGCATATGTATGTTCCTCACAAAATCATTTCCCTAAACACCCTTTCACTTCTGGAGAGCAAACTGAAGCAAGTTTCCCAAGGAACTCATTTCGAAGAGAACTTTTGGTTTATTTATTTATTTGTTTGTTTGTTTTGAGGATTTTGCCAGACAGTTCCAGTAGCCTTCATCTAAAGATATCCCTGCCTGAGCCTTCTGAGTCCCAAGGTTAGTGACAAGGACCACCACATCTGGGAAAGAGGAGGCTAGGTGATACTGAATTTGTTTTCTAAGCCTTCCCCAGGCATCCTTCTGCCTCTGCCTCCAGAGTTCTGGAACTATAGGCATCACCATGCACTTGCAATGAGCTCAAACGATGTGACACACCAACAGCCCTCTAAATTATTAAATCAGCCTTTTTCCTTCCCTTTCCTTTTTCTCCTTAAAACAAGACCGTATTTACTCAAATAAGCACCAGCGCGAAGGCAATACTTTTAAGTTCACTCATGGTACATTGGTACAAAATCCGTACCTGAAAGCAGGCTACCAACCACACAGCCAGCCTGGAAATAGATGTTTAAAGACTGAAACTAGAAACGACATAAACTATATCTAGTAGTTCCTGCGTGGGACAACTATTAAGTTATCAGAAATATCCAAATGTCTCAAGTAACAGACTACATTACCAATACACGAACACAAACTAGGCTTTTAATAGCAAGCAGCAGTATAAGGTCAACATTTATAAAGCAATTAAAGTCTAAACATGCCACTCAGAAGGATGGCCTTAAATCCCACTTAAAAACCTCACAAAAGCCAATGAAGTTTCCTACCACATACTACTACTAAGGAATCTATCTGATGTTTTTTGAACTTTTTACGTTTCAAAATGTTAAGAGTGAAAAAAGGTCTTTGTATTGACACCCAACAGTTTCTGGCGGATCACAAGGCTGCAATGCATCTTGGGATTCCTTCAGGTCGGCCGGTGCCACAGATATTTAAAACGCAATTATAGTTCCAATAGTAGAAACTGCAGCAGGAGCGGCTCTCTGCGTCAGGCGAGGAGCCAGGTCTTGCCCCTAACTCCTAGGCTCTCATACCGCCCACCTGCGGGAATTGAGGCCCCATCAGTCCCCACTTTGGGGCCTCGTGGCAGTGACTGATCGAGGGCCTGCCCGGTCCCATACGGTTTCTGTCTGCGGTGAACCGCGGCCTTCAGCGGAGGGGCGAGCCTCGCCGGGTCTTCGGGTCTCTACCCCTCCCAGCCCGGGTGCCCCAAGCCATGCAGCTCCGGGACTAGAGGCGCCCCACCCAGACCAGCCGGCGCCGCTGTCAGCGCCCCACGTGCCGGCCGGCCGGCCGGCCGGGCCACCCACGCCACCGCCGAACTCCGGCCCCAGCCAGCCACCCATGCCCCGGGAATACCCATTCCGGCCCTTTACCCGGAGGGTCTCCCGCGCTGCTGCTCGCTCCGTGGTCGCCGCCGGCCGCGCCAGCTGGGGATGGCGGCGGCTGGGCCGGTCCCCGCAGGAAGGACGGCACGAATTCTGCGGCGTGGACGTTGGGGACGAAGGGCTTGGCGTTGACGTTGAGTTGCCGGCTGAAGGCCGCGCTGAGGTTCTCACGCTGGGCCTCGGCCACCGCGGCCATGGATCCGCCGCCGCAAGGCCCCGGCCCGGGGGCCTCCATATCCGTCTGGTCCCAGCAGTCGGGCGCAGAGTCGCTGCTGCTGCCGCTCCCGCCACCACCGCCTCCGCCGCCACCGCCGCTGCCGGGATCCATGATCGGGGGGGCCGTGTGTGTGGTGAACAGAGGGCGGGAAATGGAGGCGGGGGCGGCCGACCGGGGAGGAGCAGGCCGCGCTGACCCAGAGAGGACGACAAGACAGAGGGGCCAGCGGCCAAAGACTCACTTCTCGGCGTCTTGGGCGGCAGCAGCTGTCCGGACTGGGCACTCGCGACCGCAGCGACAGCGGCTCAACCCTCCTCGTGTGTGCGAAAGATCTCCTCCCACCCAACTCCAACTACCGCCGCCGGCCTCACCGCCAACCCCACGCTTGGCGTGGATTGACCTCTTGCTACTACCCGTACCTTCGCCTCGGTAGTTCTCGGCTATGTTAGCCCCCGTTCCCGCCTACGAAGCTCGGCCGATAGCTAAACTACAAGTTCCGAAAGCACCCGCGAAGACCTGCTGCGGTTTTCCCGGGGACTGACGGGAGTCGGAGTTTAGCGATCGAGCGTCACCGGAAGCGGCTGGAGCTCCCGGCAAGCAACGCGAGGAGGCAGAGGTCTGGTGGCCGATCGGCTGCCCCATCTGTCCCAGGGTGGGGGCAGGGGCGGGGGCGGGGGCAGGCCCTGCTTTGGTGTGGCAGGGCGGTGGGCCGGGACCTTCAACACGCGGCGAGGATCCACACCCCAGCCTGTGAGGACACCGACTGTAGGCCTAACCTAGGGAAAAACATTTTTTTCTTCCCCACTTTGAACACCCTTTTTGCCTTCTCTGCCTCTCAGTCTCTGCCTTGTTCTTTTTCTCGCCACCCCCAACCAGTTTGCCCCACATTTCAAAGCCGGCGGGGAGCGTCTTTCCTTTTATGTATTTATTTGTGAAGAGGCAGTAAAACCAACCGTGAGACCTTAGAGCTTAAACTACAGTGTGGCTCATAAAGGAATGGGCCCAGAGTGTCGGAAGAAAGGATTGTTGACTGGAAGTTTTTAATGACTCACGTTATGTTTGACTAGTTATTAAAAACCCTCACTTAAACTTTTCCCCATCCACTCCTCTCTGCCAGGAGATTTACAAATTCATAATGATTGTCATTTTTCATAGTGTACCCACCAGTACCTAATAGGGCTATCTTGATGCTTCCAGTTCCTTATCCGCCATTAGGTGAAGCAGTTTCCTTTTGAATGGCCGGATTTGTGGACTTGACTCACAGCACTTTAATAATAACTACATATCACACTTGCAGGGTGCGTTTTAGTAAATGTGGGGAAAGTAACAAGCAAGGAGAAATACAGTTCACCTTTAGTCATTACTGCAGGAAGTAGGAAAAAGGTTCTAAGTACCTTTAAATTCTCCTGCAATTCACCTATGGAGACCAAGACAGAGAAAAACACACTGTTGTTAATTTCACTTCCTCTGAAAAGAGTCTAGACAGAATGCAACTAACCTGCTTGGGAATTATGTAATAACGTGTAAAAAATGTTTTAAGGACTTTAGGTTATTTTTTAAAATCTAGATCTAAGTTGGAATGCTGACTTTAAACATCTGTATTTTGAAGGAGCTAAGTGAGATTTTGGCCTAAAGAGAGAGCTAAACACAAAGCCCTCAGTGTTGTTAATTAGTTTAAAGTTAGAAATTAGAAATTTGAAAGGGTGGAGGAAGGAACACGAGTGCGGTATGGAACCAGGATGGACGGAGCACAAGCCATGGAGAGCACGTTAACTATAGTTTATTATAGCGAAACCGAAAGGGGTAAGACAGACATGAGAAAGAGAGTAAGGTAAGAAGAGTTAAGAGATGAGAGAGAGCCGGGCGCTGGTGGCGCACGCCTTTAATCCCAGCACTCGGGAGGCAGAGGCAGGCGGATCTCTGTGAGTTCGAGGCCAGCCTGGTCTACAGAGCGAGTTCAGGACAGCCTCCAAAGCCACAGAGAAACCCTGTCTCGAAAAACCAAAAAAAAAAAAAAAAAAAAAAAGAGATGAGAGAGAGTGTAAGTGGGGAGGGTCTGACCTTTAAAGGGGTCCTTTGTACCTGCGAGCTGACTGGTTCTCATGGAACTCTGGGCAGGCCAGAGAACTGCCTGAATGAGTCCTGCCAGGTAGCAGGGCAAGGCCAGAGTAATGCTTAAACCTTTCATTAAGTAACTTTAAAAAAAAAAAATGCAGCACTTGGGAGGCAGAGGCAGGTGGATCTCTGTGAGTTCGAGGCCAGCCTGGTCTACAAAGCGAGTTCCAGGACAGCCTCCAAAACAATACAGAGAAACCCTGTCTCGAAAAACCAAAAAAAAAAAAAAAAAAAAAAAATGTATACAATGTTTTGCTTGCATATATGCTTGCATGCCAGCAGGGGGAACTGGATCTCATTATGGATAGTTATTAGCCACATGTGGTTGCTGGGAATTGAACTCAAGAACTCTTAACCTCTGAGCCATCTCTTCAGTCACTCTCAGTTACTTTTTAAAGCAAGCCCTCAAACTGGGATTTTTTTTTCTTTTAGGATGGGTTGAATTTGTTTGTCTGAAGCAGGGACAGATGAAGCCGGGGCTGGCCTTGAACTCTTAACTCTTCTATCTCCACTTTCCAGTGCTGTAATTGTTTGCAAGTGCACCACCACACTCAGCTTTAATTAGTGTTTTCTAGATGACTTTTTTTTTCTTGTGTGTTTTAAGACACGATCTGGCTGTATGGCCCAGGCTGACTTGAACTCAAGATCTTCTGCTCTAAACCACTGGAAACTGTACAGCACCACTGTTTTAATCTTTTAGTCTGTGTCTCTAATAAATCCATTTCACACTCAAGATTTGCATTCTTCAGTCCACTCCAGAGAAAATGTCAACATCTGCTTGCTGCTGACTGGAGTAACTCCACAGTCTTCCAACCACAGTGTGATAATGTTCGCTGTTAACAACCAATTGAATTAACAGTTTCTTTGAAGTGTCAAAAATTCCAAACTGTTGTTTGGAAAAGCAGTTGTTGAGCCCAGAGTGTTAGTTCAATACTGTAAACCCAGTAGCAACGAGGGCCTAGGCAGGAGGGTCCCTGTAAATTCAAGAGCAACTACTATTTAACCTGAGATAGATGTCTGTATCCCCAGTGTTTGTACTGTAGACATGTGCTATATGCTGACTTTCCTTTAGTTTTCAAAGGCATTGCTTTACCAGACTGAGCTCCAGCAGGGAAGAGAAATGCTTGTTAACAAATACCACTGAGCCAAAAGTGAGCAACTTGGGGACGGGGTCTGTTATCTTTGTTCCCACCACCTAGTATAAAGTTAGACAAATAAAATGCACATAAGAAGTGTAGAGTGTGGCGCACGCCTTTAATCCCAGCACTTGGGAGGCAGAGGCAGGCGGATTTCTGTGAGTTCGAGGCCAGCCTGGTCTACAAGAGCTAGTTCCAGGACAGCCTCCAAAGCCACAGAGAAACCCTGTCTCGAAAAACCAAAAAAAAAAAAAAAAAAAAAAGAAGTGTAGAGTGATGGTGCTGCATTTATAAGCATTCAGGAATTTTGATGTACAAACTAATAACTTTATTTATTGGAGTGTGTGCGTGCGCGCACTCGCGCTCGAGAATTACAACACATACGTGGAGGTCAGAGGATAACTTTTGGAGTTCTTCTCACCTTTCATCTTGTGAGACAGAGTCTTTCTTGTTTCTGCCATGCTTTGCACTTCTACACTAGCTGTCTGGAAAATTGTGCCATTTTTCAGTGCCTGTTGCCTTAATGTAGGAAGGCTGGGATTACAGATTCACATCATCATATTTGTTTGTTTGTTTGTTTTTGATTTTTCGAGACAGGGTTTCCCTGTATTGTTTTGGAGGCTATCGGTGCAGCCCAGCCTCGAACTCACAGAGATCCGCCTGCCTCTGCCTCCCGAGTGCTGGGATTAAAGGCATGCGCCACCACCAGCCTGCATATTTGTTTGTTTTTTTAATGTGTGTGTGAGCACATGTATATTTGTGCATGCCCAGTGTTCACAGAGGGCAGAAGAGGGTGTTGGAACTGGAGTTACAGATGTTGTGAGTCATCATATAGGTGCTGGGAATTGAACCCCAGACCTCTAGGAGAGCAGGCAATACTCTTATCCACTGAGCCATATCTCCAGCCTCATATCTAACTTTTTCATCTGGTGTGGTAATATGGTGGTATGATAGGCATGGCCCCAATTGCTAATGTGCTTGAATGCTTTGTCCATAGGGAGTGGCCTTGCTAGAGGAAGTGTGTCACTAGGGGGTGGGCTTTGAGGTCTCAGAAGCTCAAGCCAGTTCTCTTCCTCCTGCTGCCAATGCAGTTTGCAGAACTCTCAGCTCTTCTCACAGTACCATGTCTGCCTGCATGCCCACCTTGCTTTCACTATGACAATAATGGGCTAAACCTTTGAACAGTAAGCCAGCCCCAATTAAATGTTTCCCTCTGTAAGAGTTGCTGAGGTAGCCAAATGGTGGTGGTGGTGCTGCCTTTAATCCCAGCACTTGGGATACAGAGATAGGCGGATCTCTGTGAGTTTGAGGCCAGCCTGGTCTACAGAGCAAGTTCCAGGACAGTCAGGGCTGCTACACAGAGAAACCTTGTCTCAAAAACAAAACAAAACAAAAAAATAATTGCTGAGGTCATGGTGTCTCTACAGCAATAGAACACTAACTGAGACAGGCGGTTTGAGTAGGAATGGTCCCCATAGGCTCATATATTTGAATACCTGGTCATTAGGGAATGTCACTACCTGACAGTCTTTAGGAGGTGTGGCCTTTTGGAATAGGTGTTGTTGGTATCCAGGCATTATGCTGACCCCATCCCCTGACAATGGGGTCTCATGTAGCCCAAGCTAGCTAGCTTCAAACTTGCTACATAGCAGAACATGGCCTTCAGCAGATCCTCTATTTCCACCTCCCTAGGACTTGGTACAGGCATGTTCCACCATCTCCAGTTTCTCTGTATTGTTTTGGAGGCTGTCGGTCCAGCCTGGCCTCGAACTCACAGAGATCGGCCTGCCTCTGCCTCCCGAGTGCTGGGATTAAAGGCATGCGCCACCACTGCCCGGCCGCCCCTGTCAAGTTTTAATAGTCTACTCTGAACAATTCATAGAAATCTGGGGTCTGGAGAGATGACCCAGTGCAGAAAGCATTGAGTCTGAGCATGAGGATCTGAGTCCAAATTCCCAAAAGCAACCTAAAAACCAGACTTGTGTCTTAGTCTGTAATCCCATGTGTTTTCCATGGGATTGGAGACTGGAGAATCCCCAAAAGCTCTAGAACCAGATGGCTCAGAATGAACAGAGGAGTCTGTGTTTGCTACTTAATTTCTTAACACAGCAAGCTTTTTGCCACTGTAGGAAACAAATACTGTGATAAATTGTTCCAGTATTTGATTTAACTTTGAGGTTTTATATGGGTGGTTGTTTACATCTTTTTTTTTTTTTTTGGTTTTTCGAGGCAGGGTTTCTCTGTATTGTTTTGGGGGCTTTTC